TATATGTATATGTATATATGTAAATGTATATATGTATATGTATAAGTATATGTATATGTATATGTATACATTGTACACACAGATACATAGATAGATCCAGCAGTGCAGATATAGTGGGAGCCTCGATGAGCCTCGGATTTCACGCCCGAGGTTTAGGACAAGCCGCAGCTTGAATCCGAGAACCCCACCATGTGGAGAAAAGGTCACAAGAAGGGTTCGAAAGAACCGGAACAGAAGAAACAAAATTGCTCCTGCCCTTAGGGTTCCAGCGTCTGTGAGAGGGGGACTCTTGGTATTCAGCCGCGCTCTGCGCTCTCCGCGGCCGCCCACTCTACCGGAAACCCTCTGCCGACAGCTTTCCAACGCAAAGCTTGCTGCCTAACTGTCGGCAACCTTTTTGGTATGCGTCATCCCGCAGAGCTTCCACTAGACTCACTGGCCCTATAGGCCCCAGACCCAGAGAAGTCGTTGCAGTCCTCGGCCCCTCCAGATGAGAAGAAACCTGTGCTTTCTAGAAGCCGCGCCACAGTTGAAATCACCCATGACGCCATGATGCTGACTTCAACGCATCTCAGCATGGAGACTTTGTGGAGTCTCTGGCATTGTGACGGTGTCTCTGCTGGAGTGCGCCATCGCAGTCGCATCATCTACCTGGGATACACCGTGGTTTCCTTCCTTCCGAAGCTGAGACTTATGAAATACACTTTGCAGGATGAGAATGCCTGGAAGGTGGCAGCGGTGACCGCCTGTGGCGTTTGCAACATGTGCTTGATGGTTGCCGAATCGTCGGGTGGTGCACGATGGATCAGCTCACGGAGCCCAAATTCTACATCCTCGAGGATCCAGGTGCTAGCCGATGCTTGTTCAAGTGCTTCAGCTATGCTTTTCTTGCCTGTTACCTGTACCCCGTGCTGTTTTTTGGGCATGCCCAGCTGGTGGCCGAAGCCTTCTTGGTCATCGCTGCATGCTACTACCTGCTTTGGGTACCCCTGCTGGACAGTTCCGCCGACACCCACTGCTGCGTTCATGCCTGGTGCCTGGTGGCATTTCTTCGGCTGGCTGTGCAGGGTGCCGAACTTACTGATCCGATGCAGTATTGCCTGAAGCTTTATTTAGTAGAGGGCATGGTTCTGCGGTTCCTCCTCTACCGCAGCACCAGAGGCAACAAAGAGCTACAGCACTTTCCAAAGAAAGGCTTCCTTGATGCTTTTGCTCGGCCACCGTCGAGTGAGCGACATACGTCACTGGAAGCCTTCGACACCCTGTTTCGGTTGGTGAAAAGAGACCAGGGTGGTGGCATCCATGCTTTGTACTTGGCCCGTGCTGTCCGGCAAAGTTGGCTGCATCACAGATCCTTGGTGCGTGGGCAAATGATGTTCACATACCACTGCATATGCAGGCAGCAGATCAGTCCAGACGTCATTTGGAGGATTCTAGAGTTCGTTGGAGATGCAGTCCATTCCCAAGAGGACTGCGAAGATGCTTCCTCTCAGAAAACGATGTCGGCGAGCAGTGCTGGCACCAGCATCGAGTTTGTGAAGCGAAGGCTGTTTAGGTTTCTGCATCAGGATTAAGAGTGTGAGGTGCCGTTGCATGCCAACCTAGCAGATTGAATTCGAGAGAAGCGTTTTAGTTTTGTGCTTCGCAGTAGCTGGCAGACAAGTACAGTAGCAAGACACTCGAGCTAGCTGCCAGCAGATAGACATTCATCAGCTTTCCCACGATGTCGATGAAAGGCAGGCGCTGTGTTTACAGAGCGGGTGTTCATGCACAGCTTGGTGGTCAGAGCTGCCGCCCGAAAGCCAGAGGAATCGTCCTGCCGCTCTACTTGCAGAGCATTGGCAGCCATGATGCCATGCCACGACAAGAATGACGGGAACTGCGGATGAGCAATCCCTTAGGGTTGAAGTTGGTTTCATTTTGGAGAACCACCCTCTGTACAGTCACCTTTTCCGGAGATTGAAAAGAATAAAAGTTCTTTTGCAGGGTTCCTCTTCGACTGCACATTTGGGACCCCAACACGCGGGTGTTCTTGCAGTCTTTTGACATTCCCGGCTGGACCTTGTTGCAACGGCATGTCCAATGCCGCACCTTTCAGGGGCAACAAGATCCGCAATGTGCAGAGACTGCACGAGGCCGCTTTCTCAACCTAAAGTAATGCGCGCGCAGCCCTGGCCTGCACAGTTTGTGTCGTTGGGCGTCTCATACAGACCTCGTACTGCCAACTTAATACTCGTCCAGAGTATGGAACTTCCCCTCCCCCGAGCCTATGGATTTTGCAGTGCAAGCCTTTTTCATGCCTAGGGCCTAAACCCTAAACCCTACCTGGGGATCCAAAAGCCTACCGTTTTAAGGGTTCTACCCTCTAATTAAGGGGTCATAACCTACTATTTTGTAGGGTTTGGGGACACAGGTAAACCCTATATGCCTACACGTCCCCAACATCCGCAACCCCAATCCCCAAACGATCGGCCCGAGCAGCCCAAAGCCCGAAACCCAAACACTCGCAGTCCCAGGCCTAAACCATCCCAATTTTTTGGGGCCTTATAGTAACTAGCTACAGTATTTTGGGCGTTCCTTGTTATAATTGTAATTATAGTGTAGTATACCTCCCATCCAAAGCCCTATTCTAATTATCAAGGCTCCTTCATTAAATCCCAACCCCCCAAACCCCCAGTGCATCTGCGCTCCCGATCCTGCTCCGTAACCCGGCTGTAAGGGTTCAGTTGTGGCTTCCGTTTTCCTCAGGGACAAAAGAGAGCATTAGGAAGGAAGCTCGTTAGTTTCCTCGTGGGAAGCTGTGTTGATGAGTGCCACGCAACTGTACATGTCGGCCCAGCGTCCTGTTGAGAGCACACTGGGGTTGACACTTGGGTTGCTTTCGGCGAGTTGTGACTCTCTCAAGGCTGGTTCGTATTCCCTGATTGTTACCTATGGGTCGTTCTCGTCAAGGGGAGGTCGCAAACCCCCGTCCGGGACTTGCATCCGTGTTATAGTAGAAGGTGCGAACGAGTTCCACAGCGCGACCTGGGACAAAATGCCAGGACCCGACACCCGGAGCCTCAAATCCTCTAAGCTATACCGAACCGCAACCCTAGACTTATCAACGATTTGCATCAGACAGGGGCTATTCTTCAATACTTAAAAGAAAGGCAGAATAAAGGTAACCGGAAAGGCAGATGGAAAAGGTAAAGGCAGAAAAAAGGCAGTTCGCTTCCATTCGGGAAAAGCAAAATGAAGGCAACACCTAAGGCAAAGTAAAGGCAACACCAAAGGCAAAATAAGTATGGGGCTATCACTTTTGTTACCTTGTTTCTGCCTTTGTTCTGCCTTTTTTCTGCCTATCATGTCACCTTTCTGTGTGCCTCCAGTTACGGTAGTTTGCCTTTTTGTTTGCCTTTGTTTTGCCTTCGGTTTTGCCTTTGTTTTGACTTTTACCTTTGTGACTACTTTAGTCTGCCTTTTCATTTTGCTTTATTTTTGCCTTTACCTTTTCCATTTACCTTTTGTTTACCTTTATTCTGCCTTTTCTTTGAATCAAGGAAACCCAGCCTGTCTGTATGAAAATGGTTGATAACCCTAGACCTTCTTTTTGTCGGAGGCCAAAAAAACCTCAAACTACCCCTTAACCCATAAACCCTAAACTGGCCCTAGACCCACAAACCCTAAACTGGCCCTAAACCCCTAAACCCCTATAAAAACCTGCAACGTACAACTAACCCCTGACCAGGCTCCAGCTCGAGTTGGGATCCGGCTTAGGCGCCTTGGGCGTCCGCGCCGCCGCCGGGGGCCTCGTGTTGCTGTCAGACAAGGAGCCGGAGGGTTTAGGGCTTTAGGGTTTAGGGGTTCAGGGGGTTCGAGGGTTTTGGGCTCCAGGTTTCTCAGATTCTCAGCGCTTTGGATTTTGGTGTTTGGCAAGCAGACTCTGCGCCAAAGACATAAACCAAATACGGCTCTCGCAAAAAACTCTCCGGAAGGCGATACCATCAGATGGAGGGCGCTTGTGTTTGTGTGGCCGTCTGGGGCCTTAGACAAACGAGCAGAGTTCCTGATGTGAGCATAGCGATGGAGATGGAGACCATCATGATCATGGGATGATGTTGTCCACAATGACTTTTTCACGGTGACGACGAGGATGGCGGCAGTGATTGCAGAGGTGCCGTTGTCGGGAGGACATTGCTCACTTTTCATGCCTCCTGCGCAATGGGCTAAATCACGACCTGCTGCAGCGCCAGAGTAAGACATAGGCCGGTCGCGCGCGATCATGATTCGGCATTCCGAAGCCGCTCCGTCAAGAAAAGCACATCAAGCGCATGCTCACGAAATCTCACGAGGTTCAGTGAAGGCCCCGAGCCAAAATGCTCGACTCGAAGCTGCCTATCTTGTCCTCTTGTAGCAATAGCGTGGCGTACTAGCATTCACGTTGGGGTTTAGGTTCAGGTTTTCTCTTGCTAGGTGTGTCAAAGGTGTTGAGCTTTGGTACTTAGGCTTTCGGGTCGGGCTGAACGCGGATAGATACTGGTGTGCTGGGTTGGCTCATCGCATGATATTGCATAGTGACTACTACGAGATGGCGGGTTAACTGTATGTTGTGGCGGCGGGGTTATCTGTGTTTCGACCAACATATTTACGTACCCGCGTCTATTCCAGGCTTTCCCGTCCGGGGCCTGGAGGCGTCTCTTTCAAAGGCGACATGTTCGTTGGGCCTTTTCGCGCGCTGAGGAGGTGCCTGTGCTGGGCCTGGCATTGAAAACTGCTGCTCTGAATGGCGCGCGCTGCGATGCGGTAGCCTATGACTTTGCCAAAGGCCACTCCCTCGCCAGAGGTTTAAAGTTCTTGATGCAGGGCTTCTGTGGGCGCACACATTGATCTCGCTGCGCCGTTGAGCTTCCGTTCTGAGGGATATGCACTTGGTTTATCTCTGCTGATGCCGTGTTTTCAGGGCTCAACTCAATCATCGGGAAAGCACCCAGGCTGGCAGGTGCACATGTTATGCGCTTTCCTTGATGCTGTTTTTGTGCTGACTGCTGGCAGGACACGATCGGAGATCTTTTCCTGCTGCCCTAGTGGTCCTGGAATAGGTTTCCATCAATTCTATCTTATCTATCTATCTATCTATCTATCTATCGAACTATCAAACTATCAAACTATCTACAGAGATACATACATACATACATACATCCACTCATCCATCCATCCATCCACCCATCCGCCCACCTACATATACATGTACAGACATATTAATAAACATGTAGGCATAAACACATACATGTTACTTGTGTGGCGTATGTATGTAAGTAGTAAGTATGTATGTGTGCATGTTTGTTTGTTTGTTTATTTGTTTGTATGCATGTACGTAGGTACGTATGTATGTATGTATGTATGTATGCATGGATGTATGCATGAATGTAAGTAAGTAAGTAAGTAAGTAAGTCAGTCAGTCAGTCAGTCAGTCAGTCAGTCAGCGAGTGAGTGAGTGAGTGAGTGAGTGAGTGAGTGAGTAAATATATATGTATGTATGTATGTATGTATGTATGTATGTACATGTGTGTATATTTTTATTTGTGAATATATATATATGTGTACATATATATATGTGTGTGTGATATGGGGGTTTGTCTATACATGCGTATGTATGTGTATATGTCTATGCATGTATATATATATATACACAAACATATATATATATAGATATAAATGTGTGTGAGAGCATGTATATGTATGTGCACATGTGTATGTATGTGTATATGTACATGTATGCATATGTAGGTATGTAAGGATGTGTCTGTATGTACCATTTTTTATTGATTTAGATTTCAGATTGCATGATGATACATTGTATTATGTTTAAGTTTATGATGTTGTCTTCTATTCTCTTACATTACATTTATATTATACATATATAAGCTCCCAGAGCCCTACGAAACCCGCACCAGGCAACATTGCACCATACCCAGAGAAAACTAGGGGCCTGGGAAGTTTGGGGGTTCTGGCCTTTCTCTCGGCCGCAGGGGCGCGAGCGCCTTTTCGCCCCGGAGTCTTCGACCTCCTCTTGGCTTCCGATGTGCCGCAGATTGTTCGTGTTTAGGGCATTTTCGGGTTTAGGGTTGTAGGGATGTAGACACTCAGATACTGAGGGGTCATGTATGATCATATCCGAAACTCCCGAACCCAACTGTCTCAAAAGCTTGCCTTGTTTTCCATTCGCCACGGGCTTTTCGAGGCGTTGCCCTCATGCTTAAGAGCTTTTGGCATGGCGGCTCTGGTCCAGAGTTTTGAATGAGGTTCGAATGAAGAAGGGGGGGAGTTCAAGGGACATCTGCCACTAACATCACACCATGTCATGAAGTAATCCATCCCCCTAGTATAAGACAGGGCCCGCGTGCCCTTGTTCCTGAACCCCCGAATTCAACCAGGTGTTTAAAGGGTGGGTGTGATTTCAGAGGGGTTTTCCGGAAATTGATTTCATTGTTAAAGGGGTGCTTGACAAGAGCGGGCAGGGATCACAGGGCAGTGCTTTGGTGCCCTTTGCTCTCGCTTCCAACTTTGACAAATTGTGTAAGGTTTCACGGCTTCCTGCTTTCCCCCAAGTTTGATTTCGAGGTGCTCTTCATGGACCGGTCGCTGGCCATCACATTCGGTGGGACCATTGGGATCGGTCGAATAAATTGAGCCATGCAGAAGGCGGGTTTGCGGCTCCATTCCAAGCCTTCGTTTGGTAGTGCAGCTGCCGACATTGCAAGGTTTCTGTTATCAGATTTTGCAGAATGCCGTTCGTGTCGTCATGATCGAGCAGTGAGGGCCCATGGATCCTTCTCCTTCTCGCCTCCCACCTCTCAATGACCAACTCATGCACTCATTCGTTGTCGAAGCAGTCATCACTGATGGAGATCTCTGCACAGGGACAGATGAAATCCAAACGAATTTGCGCTAGTGACTCGTGCAAGGCAAATGAAGCCAGTGAGCTCCAAGGTTGGCAGAGCCCCTGTTCTGCAGCATGGCGTGTCTGCATGCGCCTGGCCAACGTCAGAGAGCCATCCTTGGGCATCAGCGACGCCGGGCCGTGTTCCGAGGTGCTGAGGGAGCTGCAAGACTGACGGACTTCAGGTTAGACCAGAGGAGGGTCCGATAACCTGCGGGTCAGGTTGAAAAGCTGCACGGACTTATGAGATGATCACAGCCACACGCAAAATGAAGCTTCAGATTGGAAGGTAGAGATTACTAAGACTTCGAGCCTCCTCGACAACTGGCCTTCTCCCCCAAGTTGATGAGTATTGACGTAGGTGTGGAGATATGCAGATACCGTTGAGGATCTTTACAATGCTTCTAGGCCGCGGCGGGTGTTGCTCAAGACTATGGAGGCTTCGGAGTAGAGTAGGCATGTCGGTGGATGCTTCGAAGGGGACCCCGATCCCATGTTCTAATTTCTTCGCGAACTTCAACCGCAAGGGCCTGAATAGTTTCTAAGAAATAACAACAGCAATAGGGATGGAAGCCATAAAGTTATGGTAGAACAAAACACTGTTGCAACAGCAAAAACGAAGAGCGCAACCGCTAATACCGGGGCAAAGCACACGTCTCCGACCCTTGCCTTTGCGAAAGCCTTGTTGAAACGGAAGCGTAGCTTTCAGCAGGCGCAGATGGAGAGCCTCGAAGCTCGGCTGGGCTTAGAAGTTTAGGCTCGAGCCTTCCGGGTTAGGATTCAAGGTTCAGGTCTTAGGGTTTAGGATAAGGGTTTAGGGTTTCCAGCATTTCCCAGCCGATCAGCATAGTCCAGGTGTAAAAGGCGGACTGTCACGAAGCGAGACAAACACGGATGCCAATGAAGAATTAGCTCGAGTCAGCCATCACTTGCCTGCCTGCGGGCACGGCGATGGGCTAACCACAGCGCCACACAATTTTGCACGATATATGGAGTGGAAATATTAACAGAACGGATGGGAGCAAAGGATGGCTGAGCGAACTTTCGCAAAGAGCGCCCTCCCATGACTCCTCTTGCTGTACACAGAAAGGAACTGTCAAGGGAACGTCTGGGTCTTGCCAAAATGCTCTGTACAGCATATTGGACATTCAAGGCTCGCAGGGAAGGCAGTTGTGCAAACCGAATCTGCACACCGCACATGTGCGCGAGTTGACGCAGTGCAGTCGAAAAAGTCCGGACTTGCTGATGCAAAGGCTGGCTGGCCAGCATCAAGCTTGATGAACCCAAATTGCTGGCGGCGCCATCTGGCAACGGAGATCGCCTCCAACCAGCGACGTTGGTTGGAACTAGAGAGAAGCGAAATACAATTCAACTATACAACCCGAAGGGTCCAAAACCCAACTGTTCGAGGTATGCAGTCAGTTTAGCAAAACTTGACCGAATTCTTTACAAAACGGAAAGGATTTCCAAGACGGCAATGTGCTCGGCCAGATCGCAGTCGACATCCGCACTTGCAGAGACTTCAAATTCTCAGAGGAATACTGCCAGCAATCTAGCGAACTTGGGAGAAGGGCTTACTCCTACATTCACGGCACAACGTGGCTGCATGAGTTTTTAGTTGGTGGACTGTGCTAAGAAACTGTTTCTGTGAGGACGTAGGGTTCAGCTTTAAGGTTTAGGGTCGTTTCGATGGTGTTTTGAGTTTTCTTGCGATTGTGGCGGAATAGCTCATCTAGGGTTCCTTGCTGGAGTGGCTTCTTCAAAGTGGCGCACAATAGTCCCAACTGCCGACCACAAGCTGTGAGCAGCTTGGAGCTCAACCTTTTGTATCGACAGGCACGAGGTGAATCCGAGCCCAACTGTAGTGAGCGAGTGAGATTGAGGGTTGTCCTTCTTGCGAAACGGTAAATGTTGGTGTACACGTATGCAAGAACTTAGTAGAAGCACTGTCGCACTTCAACGCAACATGCTTGGATGTAGGCTTTGTGCTGAACACTGTACTGCTCCCGCTTTGGTTTGTATAGTCTTGCACGTCTAATACTGTTTTCAGTGCAGCTAGTATTTTTGTTTTTTATAACTACTCTGCTTCTTATTATTGTCATTGTTGTTAAACATTATTGTTAAGGCGTAGAAGCTGAAGATTCTGCCCTTCGGCGTTTCCTTGACTTCGCTGGGCCACACCTGTACAATCAGAGCGACAATGAAGCGGAGGACAGCAGTGTTTGAGTTGTTTTGCTTCGGCCAGCTTTGTAGCTTTAAGCCACACCGGCAATTTGCCGGCTGACTCATCACCAATGCCATTCCTCACATCTTTTCATATATTTCACTACAATCTGCCCCAAAACCCTACACGAATTATGAATCAGGGTTGCTCGAAGCGTTTAGATTAATTCAGAACGTGGTGCCGGGAGCAGGGCCCTGGTGGTGCCAAGACGGCCGGGAGTGGGGTTTTGGGGTGGTGACGTGCTGGTGGTCGTGGCGATTGTTTCGTGGTACTGGCAGCCTTGCTGATGTTGCGGCGGTAGTGATGTTGGCACCAGGTGGTCGCAGCCTAAACCCTAAACCCTAAACAATGATGAAGACGACGATAATCAGAACGTTGGAAGAAACAGGAGTAGTTCCAGGTCCAGGTCGGTCGTCTTCATCCTCGTCGCCAGCATTATCAAGATAGCCACTTCAGGCCCACCACCACGGTCATCATCCTGATGTTGTCTATGATCGCCATCATGGTCGTCATCATTGCTTTCGTCAGCAGCGGGGCTTATCCATGTTCACCGATGTTTGCGTTTGACTCTGTGCAGCTTTCCGTGCCTCGACCAGACATGTGTGCCGTTCTCCATTCTTCTCTGTCTGGATGTCGTACTTGTTGATGCGAGCCCTTAGCCTTGGCCCCGTGGCTGCCCTCCGTTCAAAGGGTTCGGAAAACAGTGTGGCATGGGATGCCCTAACCGCCTAACCCGTAAGCCCGATTCCTAGAACCGTAAGCTTTGGCAACAGGAGAGTCTTGCCTTGGTCTTGGATTGGCCAGCACCAGGGCCAAATCCCACAAAGCGGCAATGCTTGGGCGAGGAAAAATTGCTCATGCACCAGAGAGAGAGAGGGCTTTAAGGTTCGGGAGCCGGTTGACTTGCCGGGTTGGTCTAACTGCAAACCTTTGCTTGCTAGCTTATTGGCGGTGCATTGTATGCTCATCGAGGGCTTGAAGTAGACGAGAGAAGCCTAGCAAGTTCAGAATCGGATCGATTCGTTCATCCAGTGTCGGTTGATGAAACCATTGATGACGTCAGCAGTTCGCAGAATTGGGCTCCCAGTTTGGGAAAGCTTTGATGGATTGTCTTGTGGCCTGTTATTACAAGATTGGTCTACACCTCTGTTGCTCAAGGAAAAAAATCTCGGAGATGTTCTTCCTTGTTGCTGGATCTTCGCAGCTCAGCTTCTACCAAGCTGCGTCCGAGCAATCGCTAACTAGTCGAAATGTCCTACCGGCTTATTACTGTAGACCCCCAATTTTCGTCATGGGTGTGCTTTGTCACGGACAGGCGCAACTGCTGCTGGTTGGCTCCTTTGCGTGCATCGGAGTGCTCCCTGCAAACATGAGGTGAATCTAAGATTTCGTTTCCGGTTCCGCAAGCGGCTAAGCTTCATCAGGCCGGGTATATTTCGGGTCGGAGGCTGGCAGAAGCCCTTTCAAGCGTGTTCACAAGGACGGGTCAATGTCCAGAGATGGAATATACCTTAAAATCCTAACATTAGGGCCCCGAAAAATATAAGATATATACTCCTTCATTCCCTTATAGAACCCTTAATTTATCCAAGGAACCCTATAATACAAAAGTGTTTGTTGCAGAAGCCGGACTAAACTCTGACACTCGGCTCCGAGATGCGAGGCTTCAACCAAAGCCAGCAGAGTGAAGTGTTGGGCTCCCTTCCTCTTAGGGTTTAGGGTTTTAGGTTTAAGGGCTTTAGGGGTTTAGGGCTTAGGGTTTAGGGTTTTAGGGTTCAGGGTTTTAGGTTTCAGGGTTTTAGGGGTTTAGGGCTTAGGGTTTTAGGGTTCAGGGTTTAGGGTTTTAGGTTTTAGGGTTTAGGGTCTGCAGCCGACTATACTGTTCAGCTTTACAGACGGCCTGCACTCACGGCATGAGGACGTCCGCAACATTCTCAATAGCATTACATCTCCCGATGTGCAGCGTCCACTGCTCACCAGCATTTGGAGATAGACATGCCTCTCAGATAGCTCAGTGCTCATGCCTTGTGATGATCGAAGGCTGACTGCTCAGAGGTCCCTAGTGCTCACGCTGCTCCTGCATGGTAGTTCATGTAGCTATGACAGAACACTTCAAACTGAACCCGATGAAGCCGTTCGGGCTTCCGGACGTAAGGATCTGACCCTTTGGCATTTATGGCGGGGTCCCCTCTGATCCGAAACTGCGAAAAGTCTGCGCGCCTGCTGGTGCGGAATTGCGCGGCGAGCGAGGCTTTCACCTCGCAACAGGCAAGCCTCCTGACCTCCGAATGAAGATATCATGGGCCATGGGTCATCAAGTTTATTTGTCTGTAGGGATGCCGGCCAGGTGCAGGCCATGACGGGGGCCTAACGTCCTACTCGTAGGTGTGGAAGCTGTCATGTGCAAACTGTGTTGCAGTGCTTCGGTATAAACTTTTACACGGCTTGGGTGCTTCCAGGCGAACTCCAAACGT